CTTGTTTCGTCCTGCACAGCAAACCCAGGCTCGCCACAGGACCTTTGCGTTTTTATGTACGGCCTTGGCTAGAATGCTCCTTCCCTGGTGGACACTGGCTCCTAATGTCTTCAGTCTTTGCTCAAATGTCAACTTCACATTAAAACCGTGGCTGGCCTATCCTCATGAGAACAAAGGCCTACCTGGTGTTCCCAGCTCCCTTCTCTATCTTTGTCTGCCACACTTACCACCAGACAACGCCCTGCAAATGCTGGGGTCCCGCACGGACCCTGTGGCATGTGAGCATCCTAGCAGATAAGTTGCTCTGGGCTGCAGCCCGGGCACCGAGAATGGTTGAGACTGTGAGGTCCTTAGTAAAGCCTGGTGGATGAGTGTGTGAATGAATGAACGCGTGAATGAATGAATGAGTGAACAGGTGAGTGAATGGAGGGACAAACAAATGACTGAACAGATGTGTGGATGAGTAAGTGTGTAGATGAGTGTATAAGTGTGTGAATGAGTGTATATAAGTGTGTGGATGAGTGTGTATAAGTGTATGAATGACTGAATGAATGAATGCATTAGTGAATGCATGGATGCTGAGTGAGCAAGAGAAAAAGTGAACAAATGACCGAGAGAATAAATGCATGGGTGAATATTCCTGTTGTCACTGACCGAATCAAGCCTCCTCCGCCCCAGGATGGAGCCCTCTAAGAAGCTGATGGTGGGATAGAAGCAGGGTCACCAACCTGCTGGGGCGGTCAGGTGTCCGTGTCCGCCACCTGTGCTCCTCTAGGGTGTCGGCCCCTCCCACTTCCTGGGCCTTTCTGTATGGTATCATCACGTGGCTGCCTGTCCAAGTCACGCCTATTCAGGAGTGGTTGCACACGCAGACCCACAGGCAGGGATACAATGCCATCCTCACACGCTCCTGCCCCCTCCCGGGAACTCCAGACCTGGACTCACATTCACACACAATTAAACAAACACACCCAGCTTCTCCCGAACACGCCCCAGCAAATAAGACCTCATGCCCAAACATGTTGGCACACTCAACAATCCGCACTGTGCCCTTGCCTGAACACACACACACACACACACACACACACACACACACACACATCCCCCATGCTCCCCAGCCACACCTCCTGAGATGTCTGCCTATCTTCTGCAGGGCCCTGTCCCCAAGAGGGACCCTGAGCATCAGGAACTGGGCACCCCACCAGCGCCCACCCTTACCCTGCTGCATCTTTGACCTGACCTCCGCGCTCGGCCAAGCTCATCACAGCGGTGCGTGATACCCACGTCATCCTTGACTGGGCCGCCGCAGGGCATGTCTGCTGGCGCTGTCCTGGGCACCTACCCACTTCCTCCCATCGTGGGCGGCAGCCTTGCTGACATCAGCCAGCTTAGGGCCTGCCTGGCACCTCACAGAAAGGAAGGAAGCAATCTGTCCCTACCACAGGGAGCCAATGGGAGAGGTGACCCAGTCCCCTTGTTCACCTGGAGGGTGCACGGCCTGGGAGGGGCAGCTCTCAAAGGGGTTCGTGGAGCACTTTCATCTTCCACCATCAGGGGGACCCTAGCGTTTCTGAGTAAGCACACAGGACCTGGACCTGTGCTATTCTGAGAACGACAGGAGCTGTCACTTGGTCCCCAGAACAGCCATCGTCTGTCGTGTCTCTGTGAGCCCCGGTATCCACAGCCCTCTGTAGTTCCATTGGTGTTGCTCAGGGGACACCAGAGCAGCCCTGCATCAGCCCCCTGGACAGAAGACTGAGGCCTGGTGACACTGGGGCAGCTGGCAAGGAAGGGCAGTCATGTCCACCTGGGACTGGGGTCTGTACCAATATTCTTTGGGCTTTAGGTGCCAAGGCAGAAAGACACTGAGGCAGGTGGATAGGGGCCTGTGCGACACCAATTAAAGACTTTTGCTCTAATTTTTTTTAGATTTTGTTTACCTTTTTTTCCCTCTCTCTTCCCCCCCCCTCTCTCTCCCCCTCCCTCCCTCCCTCCCTCCCTCCCTCCCTCCCTCCCTCCCTGGATGTCCTGGAACTCACTATGTAGATCAGGCTGGCCTTGAACTCAGAGACCACCTGTCTCCACTTCCCAAGTGCATCACTGCCAGGCTAGATTTTATTTCCTGTGTCTGGGTATTTTGTTTGCATGTATGTCTGCGTATCACATGCATGCAGCGTTCAGAGACCAGAAGAGGCATTGGATCCCCAGGAACTAGAGTTACAGATGGTTGTGAACCACCTTGTGGGTGCTGGGAACCGAACCCAAGCCCTCTGCGAGGGCAACAAGTAAGTGCTCTTAAACACCGAGCCATCTCTCCAGCCCCAAGCTTTTTGCTTTTTAAGAAAAGAGGAAACGCAGGGCATGATGGCTCAGGCCTGTAATCCCAAAACAGGAGGACTAGGAGAGTTCTGGGCTAGCCTGGGCTATCGTGTGAGCCCTGTCTAAAGTAACAAAAACAAGACAAAAAAAACTAAAGCTGAACTTAATGAATAAAGGGTATTTGTTCTGATGACTTCTCACTGAGCGCCAAGCAGGGAGGTGTCCTGAGGTGGCGCCCCCAGCCAGTCTAGCCGACCACACAAGCACGGGTCAAGGTGGCATCGTCGGAAATCCCACTGTCAACTCCACAGGCCTGGGAGATTCTCTGGCACATACTCAAGCCCTTTGTCCCCTGCTGGGGCCACATGTCACATACAAGCAAAGGGGTCCTAGAGTTGTCCCTCACTTTCCCCTGGCTTCTGAGCTCTGGACTACAGTGACTCCCTGGCTCACTGAGGACCTGCTGGGACCCATAATGACCACCACTGCGGTCACTTGGGACTTTTGATCAGAGACCACTATCCCCACATGGGCTGAGGAACTGTCAGCCCAGGGCAGATGAATGAGAGGCCCATAGACACAGCAGCCAAGGGACCCCCGACCCCTGGGACAATGCCCTCAACTCGGAGCAACCACACGAGAGCTTCAGCCTGCACCTAGTAGGCACAGACTGAGTCCCTAGGACTTCCCCCAGACTGACCAGTTCAGGCCTCTAATCACCCTATATCATCTCCTTCTACAACTGGGGAAACCGAGGCACACAGGGGACAAACTACCTCACCAGGAGAGGCCAAAGCACAGCTTATCCCAATGTTCTTGCACGGCAACAACTTCAGCTGCCCTTGAACACTGCCCACTCTTGGGGCCCTCTCCTCTCCCACTGTACCCTGACCTGGTGACTACAGGATCTGGCACTATTGACAGGCCAAGGCCAAGAGCAGGACTCTGTATCAGCCCTCAGATGGGGGCGGGGGTACCGTACACAAGCTGGGTGACATGGATCAGTCTCTTAATCATTCTGAGTGTTCACTTTCTCACCTGTAGGATCAAAGAGGGAGGCAGCGGGTCATGGGTTGGGGAGAATCTGCTGCTCTATGCTGCCCTGCTCGTGTGGCCTTTGCACAAACCAGCCCTCTCTGCATAGACCCCTCCCCGAGCAACCACCACTCTTATCCAGGCTGGCAGGCTTCACCCTTGGGGGCTGCACCCAGAGGCTATCTGGAGTCCCCTTTCCATTTCCAGGGCCTCTGTTTCTTGTCCCCTCCCCAAGTCACTCCCGAAACACCACACTGAGAATATGGGCAGGCGGCCTCACTCATGTTGGTTTTCGGCTGGTCCTGCTGTCCTCCTGAAGCAAGATGGCCTCCCACGTCCCTCATGGCACACCCAGTGGCCTATTCCTGGTCAGCGAGAGCAGAATATGTGTGTCAGATGTGTGATAGGAGCTGAAGAAGGGGCCATAGTAAGTATCTCAAGTCTCTAGGTAAGGACATGGAAGCCAAAATCCTCTCTTCCCCTGCGGCCTGGGTGCAGACCAGCACCCTGGGGATGGTAGGTGCCACTGTCCATCTTCAGGGTGAGGCTCTCATGTCCACCCCACACCCCTGCCCCGGAGCCAGGAGGCAGGAGGTTGGTCAGGCAGGCTGTGGCCCCCAGCCAGCAGGAGGTGACTCACCAGCACCATGATGACAGGTGACATCCCTCCTCTTCCCTGGGGGGTAGGGGAGACTTTGGCCTGGAGATAAATGGAGCCGGCCTCCCACTTCTGGGAAGAAAACAGACAACGGGGACAGTAGCCAGGCCACCTCCCGGGAGGGGGGCATCTCATGTCCGTGCTGGAGGACAGGGACAGGGACAGAGGCTGCTTCATGAGGTCAGCTGCACTGACCACAGCCTCCCTTCCCGGTTCAAGGCTTCTCTCCTGGGAGGTGGAGCCTTCCCTTCCAATCTACTGCTGTAGCTCTTTGACCGTCGGTTGGGGTGCCTTCTGGGTACCCTCTGGCATGTGGACTTGGGTCAGAAGGGACAGGGACTTGTCAATGGGTGAACTGAGAAAGTTGTGTCAGGGAGGGTACTGTCTGGGCAGTGGACTGTGTAATCCCTATTCCTCTCTCTCTCACTATGTAGCCCTAGCTAGCCTAGAACTCATTATGTAGACCAATCTAGCCTTGAACTCACAGAGATCTGCTTGCCTCTGCCTCCTGAATCCCAGGGTAAAAACTGTGCACCAGCATGCCCAGCTTTCCACTGTATTTCCAAAAGTCCTTACCCATGTGGCTGAGGAGTTAGCTAAACCATTAAAGCATCTGTTGCTCTTCCACAACCCAAATTCGGTTCCCAGCACTCACTAACATTACTGCCTTCTGTAACTCTAGCTCCAGGGGACCCAGCACCCTCTTCTGGCCTCCAGGGGCACCTGCATTCAGGTGTCACTCACAGACTCCAACAGGCACACTTACACAAATACAAAAATAACAAATACATCTACAAAAAAAAAAAACCTTTTCTGAAAAAGTCTTTAGCTATATAGCCAATATTTGGATGCAGCTCTGCCCTGGAGGGCCAGAGACATAGGAGCTTGTGTTTACCACATGACAGGGACAGTGTTTGGCTGCAAGGAAAAAGGACCGGCCCCCAGAGGCTTGTACAAACATGCGCTCGTCACTCTCAGGTCTGAGAGGCCTGTGTATGTGTAGGGACAGGTCCCAGCTGGTGGACATGCTCAGGGCTGTCACCAATGACCCACTTGGGTATGCCACTTCCAAGCTCGCCTGGAGGACCACTTCCCTGGCTGGTATGTGCCCCTCTCCTGGCAGGATTGCTGAGCAAGTGTTCAGGGTGGCATCCCCAGCAGGGACAGGGGGCTTCTTCAGAGCCCCAGCCCGGGCTCTCTGCTCTCATCTTACTGACTGCCATGCATGATCTCCTCCTCATGGCTAAGGGATGCTGGGAAGGTGGTAGCTTCAACATCAGGGTCCCGTGCTCAGGGAGGAACAGTGGACTATACACTGGTGTCTGTTTGGGGCTCGTCCCACATCACCTGGTTCTGCAGCTGGCCTTTAGTCTTTACCCCATGACAGGCATCTGGAGCCAGGCCACATCACTAGGTCAACTTACCTCATGTCACAGTGGACTGCGCCGGGCTGTGCTGGCCTTTCCTCCCCGGTCCCCGCCAACGGGACAGTTACATACCCCACCTCCCACCGGAATCTTGACTGTTGGAGTCACAGCCCAGGGAGCCTCTCGCACAGCCCCCTCCACTGGCACTTTGCTGCAAAGTGAGGGTCGCCTCTCATGGGAGTCCCAGCACCTTTGCATCCTGGAGCAAACCACCCTCCTCAGTTATAATTTTTTTTCTTCCCTGGCTATGTGTGGCTTTGATCTCTCACGGATGCGGCCACTGTGTTCCCCGAGTTATTTGTTTCTTTCTCTGGCTTTATTGCCCTTCTCTAATTTCAACAGAAATCCGAAACCTCAGCTTCATTGAAGCCTAACTTTTATCTCGTAATCAGCCAGTCAAGTCCCTCACTTCACAGGACTGTGGGCACCCAGAGGTCTCTCTGTGCTAGGCTTTGGAGCAGTCCCTTCCCTCGTCACCATGGCCACAGATGTCTGCAGACAGCTGTAAACACGTCCTGGGAGACAGAGTCACCCAGACTGAGGAGCTCTGATTGACCCATATGGACACTCAGGCTTCTATGGCCAAGTTCAAGATCATTCCTTTTCCTTGCTGTCTAGTATTTCCCTCGTTCTGAAATCTGGCCTCGAATCCAAAACCTGCTCCTCCCCCCTCAACACAACTCTTAGCATGAGCTTAGAATGCCCTCATCTTTCTGAGCCTCGATTTTCCCAGCTGTGACGTGGGAATGATGGTTCTGATTGGGCAGTGAGTCAGGGGGTACGAGGAAGGGCGGGTGTGGCCAATACAGGGAAGCATCCTTCCTGCGACCCTGTCTCTCCTGTCCATGCTGGCCTCTGAATAAAGGGAGAGGAGAGACAGGCAAGCCCTGTTGTCTCATTGCAACCCTCTGGGTGAAGAGCCTAGGGAGGAACGAGCTGGAGCAGAGTCCGGTGCATCCCCAGCAGGGCAGCTGAGCTGCACCCAGGACGGGAGACACCTGGGTTGGGCTGTGGATTCTTAGAGACAGAAAAGAGATTTCTAGATGGAGACCAGACGGGGAGTGACAGGGCAGGGGACCCAGCAGAGGGACCCAGTTCAGGGCCCTCAACAGAGCAGGGGCGCCTCCCTCCGGGTCCAGGCTATGTAATCCTGGGCAGGGCAGTAAGTACTTTTGCTGGCGCTAGGCAGTTGGGGTCTCTCTAGGACTCTGTCCTGTCTCTGAGGGAGTCCCTGGGGTACCCTGTCAGGGGGTGCAGATGGTCCCCACAATGTTGTGGCCCTGCATGCCAGATGAATGAACCAGGCTGCCCTTGGTCACCTGCACCGCAAGTCGCAAGTGAGCCCTGAGTCTTAGGTGTAAGGTGCCAGAGGCACCTAGGACGTGCACGTGAAACCGATCTGGGGTCTGCTCTCTGCTTCTTCCACAGCCCTTCGGTAAATAGAAGTGACTCTCACTCCACACGGACAGGGACGAAGGCACGACAGAGGGGTCAGGGCAGTCATTTTGAGCCTGGGAGGAAGCTGTGAGTGGAACCGGCAGAGCAGATGGATGGACGGAAGCTGGGTCTCCAGGAGAGGCACAGAGCATAGCCAGGTGCAGGAACAGATAGATAGAATAAGAGGCTCGGGGGCACCCAAGGGGCATGGGGGCACTGAGTGTAGCGAGCAAGAATAGGTGAGCTGTGGCAGGATGGGTGGCTGTCCCTCCAGTGGCGGCGGGCGGGGGGGGGGGCACTTAAGCCCTTGGACTTTGCCTTGAGGGCCAAAGGAGCCTTGACTATAGGCAAGAGAGTACAATGGCTAGGTTTTTTTCTTGGAAAGATTGTTCAGACTACAGAGCAACGCACAGATTCCGTAGCCCCCCTTTCATTTCTTGCCCAAGTTGGCCTTTACTGACTGTGTAGTCACGTTGACCCCAAACTTCTGATTCTCCTGGGATTACGGGAGTGCCCCACCATACCTAGCACATGCGGTGCTGAGGGTCAGACCCAGGGCTTAACGCACGCCAGGCAAATGCTCTCCCAGCCGAGCCACATCCCCGGCCTGCGTCTGTTCATCCCTTCAAAAAGATTGAAGCAACAACAACAAGACAAAACAAAAGCCCCGACTCCCACCCCAGCCTGGCAGAGTTTTCAGCCAGCGAGGCGGGCCCAGCTGCGCTCACACAAGATCAGTTCCTTGGTGAGAGGTAGCAACTGCAGCTGTGGGGTCTAACACAAGGAGCTTCCCTGAGCAAGAGGACAGGATGGAGCAGGAAGGGATGACACAGGCCATAGGTCTGGGGAGAGTGGCAGTGGAGGTGGGGATCCAGGCCCAGCGGGTAGGGAAAGCAGGAAGGTTCAGAGTCACCAGCTGTTGGCCCAGGTAAGCGATGTAGCAAGTGGGGTAGGTGTGATCTTCAAGGGCTGTTGATTGTGAGGTCCCTGTGGGCTATCCACATGAGAAACCTCGGGCTTGGGTTCGGAATCTGATAACTAAGGGACTCTCCGGCCTGTTACAGCAGTGGTCCTCCCATAGGGAGTTCTGTATGGACCGTGGTAGCTGTAGCTTGCCACATCCGTCCTTAATGCCCCCCAATGGTTGCTGGGAATCGTGCCCATGACCCACCCTGACCACGCCTTCTTTTCTAGCAGGGATCCGTTTTGTTAAGTGGTGTCTGCCTGTGGTCCCTCTTCTCTCTCATCCCCAAGCAAGTTGCTATAGTCATAAACCTGTTTGAGCCGGTGACATTCCCCAGTGACGACTGATTGGGAATGAGACCTGTGATATAACGGGATGCCTCAGCAGGGGTGGGGGGAGCGCAGCTCACAAGAGGAGACACACGAGAAGGAATGGCCATCCTCATATCTGTGGAATATTGTGTGCTGTGCCTGCAGCGGGAGCGGTCGCCTGGTAACCAGGAGAGCATCCGTAACATCCGGGAGCAGGAGAAACAGAAAGAACAGAGTCCTTGGTGTTTCATCACACCTCAGGACTGAAGGACCCTGGGAGAGAAGGAGAACTTTCAGCACGAGCTTCTGGTCCCTGGCGTTGAGCCCTCTCTGTGGACCTCGAAGATGGCGCTTTTGTGAGGGAATCTGCTATGGAGAAGACTTTTCCCAAAGCCGGTGAGTTCCAGAGCCGGGGTTTTAGGGTGAAGCCACAGGCTCCTTTTAAAAGCCTGTTCCTTAACACGTTTCTAGTAGAAGGCCATAACCCTGCTTTTACTTTTCCCTGGAAAACTGTCATTAGGGATGGTGGGAAACCCAGAGTGGGCCGTGAGGCTTTGTGTGCAGTTAATGGCCTTGATTATACGTTCCTGCCCCCCCCCCCCACCACTCTTGTGTGAAAGGCTGCCATTGGCTGCAGAGTATAATCAAACCGTTTCTTATGTAAACAGTCTCAGGGCACTGGGCCAGCAGGAAGGTGAAAATGAAACTCCCGCTCCCAGCCAGGAAAGCCATCTGCTGTGTGGCAGCAAAGGAGCAGGGGTTAATGACACACGGTGGGCAGAGGCTGACAGCACCGGGCCGGAACTGAGGGTGCTGTTAGCCGGCTGGTTACCAGAGCGATTTCCCAATGCCCATCGCGAAACGCTCCAGGGAACTTCAGGCACGATCTTCGAAAGCAAGCAAGGAAGGGAGGAAGTTCAATTAGTGAAGTGTGGAACTCTCAGAAAGGGCTCACAGCCTTAATATACAAAGAGTTCTTGCAATACAATAAGACAAGATAAACATGAAACCAACTAGTCGCCAAGGAGAAACTACTAAGGGCGGTGAACGTATGAAGACAAGTTTGGGTCCGACAGTAGCCAAGGAAATGCAAATAAAAGCTTCAGTGATGTCATTTTTCCCGCCTATCAGATCGGCACACACACAGACTGGCAAGCTCAGACTGTGCGGAAATAGGTCTCCCGTTCTCTGCTGAGGGACAGCACAGGGTCCCTGGGGCAGAATGACCTCACACACGATCGTCAAAGACCAGGAGTTCTAAAGTGTTGTGGAAATGTTGGGGGCGTTTGGGGCATTCAACTCAGCATACAACAGTTTGCAGACCTTCCAGGGACAGGAGCTCTTGGTATAGCTTTGTTCATGAAAGTGAAGTGTCAAGTCTGAAATGCTAAATTGGGGGGTGGATAAGTAAACACAGATATCACAGATGAAAAATCAGACTGTACTAAGCTAGCTGGGCATGACAGAAAGTATCTGATCGGGCACTGGGGGCGCAGAGACAAGACAGTCACCGCGAGTTCAAAGACAGCCTGGGCTGCACAGGGAGACCCTATCTCAAGAAACAAAACAAAGCAAAAAACAAACAAACAAACAAAGAACCCACCCAAAGTCATACTGTGCTAAAAATAATAATGAAAATAGTGGTTGGAGCTGGGTGGCGGTGGCGCAGGCCTTTAATCCCAGCACTCTGGAGGGAGAGACAGGTGGATCTCTGTGAGTTCGAGGCCAGCCTGGTCTACAGAGCGAGTTCCAGGACAGCCAGAGCTGTAATACAGAGAAACTTTGTCTGGGTGGGGGTCGCGGAAAGCAGGGATAGTGGTTGGGCTGTAGCTCAGTGTCCCAGTTCTTGCTTGAAGAAGGAGCCTGAGTTCTGTCCCCCGTACCATGGCCAAAAGGGAAACAATAAAGACAAAAAAGTGACATGAGAGACCTCATGACCAACGGTGCCTCAAGCCATGTGTGCAGGCTGATGTGCAGCAGGTGGCCAGCAGTGCCCCGGGGGGGGGGGGAAGGCCTTGGGTATTTAAAAGCTTTTATTTATTAGTGTGTATACGCGCATGTGGCATGCCATGGCACATCTCTGGAGCTGATTTTCCTTCCCCCTTTGGGTGGTGTTCCAGTTATTTGTCATTGGCAAACCAGCACAGCCAGAGTCACCTGAGAGAAGTCCATGGGCTGGAGGGGACTCATGCTGGGTCTCACACGAAAGCCAAGAGCTGGCCAGGAAGGGGCTTCCTCGGGTTTCTGTTTGAAGTTCCTGCCGTGAGGTCCCTGAAGGATGGACTGTGACTTGGAAGTGAAAGCCAAGTAAGTCCTTCGCTCTCCTAAATTACTTTGGGTCAGCGTGTGAGCCACCATGTGGGGGCTGGGACCCAAACTCAGGTTCTCTGCTTGAGCGACAGGTGCCCTTAGCCATCTCTCCAGCCCTACAAAACAAGTGAGTCTGGGGTGTGCAGGCTTGCCATGTATTCCGCTTTGATAAAGGGTCTTGATGTGTCACTCTCATGGCAATCCTCCTGCCTCAGGCTCCCAAGTGCTCAGATGACAGGTGTGCACCCCAGGAAAGTGTTTTTACATCTTTAAATCCCATTGTTTACACTTCGGCACCACAGACACGGGTCCCTTAGGTCACTTTAAGCCTCGGAGAATGGGGCAGAGTCTGGGTCTTTTCCCACCAGATGCCAGAGACACCCTGCCCCCAACATAACCTCAAATGTCCCCAGACACTGCCACATGCTCCTCCAGGGACAAAGCCACTCTGGGCTGGAGCCACTGTTTTAAATGCCTTTCTGAGTTGTTGGAGGTGGTTGAACAACAAGCATGCCATTTCCACCACAATCAGAAAAACAAACACTTTAAAGGGACAATTGGCAAAGTCTCCCGCGGTTGGGTAGCTTTGTCCCATTGGAGATCCTCACTGTCCTGCCTTCAACTCGAGGTTCTGGGGAAAGACTTTAGCCCACACCCCCCTGGGCTGCTTTTTGCTCAGAGAATTCTCCCCTCTAGACTCTGATGCAGAGACCAGGAAGTAGTGGTGTTGACCCTCTCACTCCCATCTCCTGGTGGCTGCTCCTGTTTGGGGGCGAGCCACACTGCTCCCACACAGCTCTCCTTTGGGGGTGGCACTGCAGTCCTGCTCCAAGGTTAAGCTGACCTTCTAAATGTCCCCTCCAGCTTAAATAAACCAGTTCTGTCTGGGGACCACTGGACTACTGAGTAGGGCTTAGAAAGTGTAATTGCATGCTGACAGCCATTCCCTGGTCTCCTCCTGGACTTTGCAGTGCTCAGTGAAACACAGTGGAAGCCAGCAGAGGAAAAGAATAAAAAAATAAAAAACCCAACAGGGAGACTGAGAACTGCAGGAACAGAAGAGGAAGGGGGTGGGGCCAGGAGCACGGCCTGCCGCTAGCTAGGTTTATGTGTGTGACTAGCCAGTCTCCTCTGCATTGTCAGTCTAAACCGAGTCTTTTCGCACTCTGGATGTGGCCCCCCCCCCCGGGTCCTGTGCACGCAGGGCAGCGCTCTGACTTAAGCCATTTCACAGCTCTGAGCTGACACTGTGCAGCTGCCAGCTGAGAGGCTGAGTCCACTCGTCCACGTATTTCCCTTGGTCACTTCAGCGGCCTGGACAGCCAACATGGCAGAGGTGCAGTCTGGCCTGGAAGACCCACCGCTGGACGAGGAGTCGTGGGAGAGCGGCACAAAGTGGAGGGAGCGCTCTTACGACAGGCTTGGTCCTGGCTGGGGCAGTGAGAAGCAGTCCTGACAGAGCCGCCCATGGTGAGAGGCAGGGTGTGGGGACAGAGGGCGCAGAGAGTGTGGAGAAGACAGGGGCTTCCTTCCATCAGGGGCTGCCTGGAGGGAGGGAGCTGCTGGGGGAGGTGATCCTGACCCCATACAGATATCACAGGGACATCTCCTGCACAACACAGGGTCTGAGTGCTGATGCAGGAGAGCTCAGGGGACGTGGAGGCTGGGGGACATTTGGCCTGCAGGGATCTTATCTGGAGCTTGAACCCAGAGGTAGGGCTAGAGAGAGAGAGTCTAGACAGAGAGGGTCAGTGAGAACTTAGGGTGCCAGAGGAACCCTCTGGCCACAGTGTGAACTGGATTCTGGGGGTGTTAGCACAGAACGTGAGAAGAGCAGCTTTTGCTCGGAGGGACTGGGGAGTCAGGGGTGGCCTTCATAGCAGGTGACCGTTGGGCCAAGATGAGGTAGTCATGAGATATATGAGGGCTGAGAAATCTAGGTGGCAGCAACTGGCTGAAGTGGAGGTGCCAGACGGGGCTTGAGGGTCAGTACAGGCACAGCAGGAACTTTACCAGGGCAGAGCATCACTGGCTGGGCTCTGAGGGGCCCCCTGACCACATGAAGCATGGGTCCAAGTAGGGTAGAAGCAAAGAGTCAAGGTGTTGCTAGGGATACAGGATGAGGTGGAGACTAAAGGATGGGGTGACTGCAGGCTTGATGGCTTTGTGGCCTGGTGGCATGGTGGCCTGGCTCAGAAGGGACAGAGCTCTGCAGAGCCTCTGAGAGACTGCAGCTCCCTAGGTCCTGACTTTGGTCCCCAAGTCCTTTTTTCTCCACTGCTGCTCCCAGATCCTTTGGCAAACATCTCTGACATTAAATGCCTCCACCATGGTTCTGTCCGAACACCCCTGCCAGAGGTGACAGGACAGCCATCTTCTGTCGGTTGTAGCCCAGGATGCCTGGAGGTCAGAAAAGGACAAAACCACAAGCATTCTAAGACACCGCCAATTCCTGCAGCATGGGCAGCTTTGCCCAGCAGGCCTTGGTTCAGGTCCACTCTAGCGCTGCTGGCTGCTCAGTTCCTGTGCGGGCAGTAGAGCCGCGCCTCTCTAGGGAGGCGGGAACTCAGAAAGAGGGGCTGGAGGAAGGACCCAGGGGAGTTGGAGCTCTCAATCGACAGGAAGCCCTATTGCCCTCCCAGAACCTCACCCACACACCAACTCCAGAGGGTGATTGTGTGCAGGTCCCGCACAATGACAGCTGGAGACACATCGCTGTCTCTGTCATTGCTGTGGAAGGAGGCTCTGGCTAAAGCAAGCAGTACACACCCATCTCACAGAGGTTGGCCACGTGCAGCCTCGTCTGGTCCCAGAAATGGGTGTCCTCTACCCTCCCACAGGCTGCAAGAGGTTGGCTGGTGCACTCTTCTCTGTGCCCTGAGGCTCCACACTGCCCTGGCAGAGCCCAGGACCCTCCTGCACCAGGGAGAGCGCCACGTCACCTCCAGACCCTCCGCGGACTGTCTGCATTCTACAGGTGAAGGCGCAGAGGTCGGGCAGGACAGGACACAGAGCAGAGGCTGTGGTCCTCAGGCCTGCACCATCCCACGCCAGGGGAGAGGACTGGTGGCAACCGTCCCATGAGCGACTGTTGCATAATTAGGTGAGGATGAAAAATGCTGTTTGTCATTAAACAAGCAAGCAGGGCAGCAGCGCCTCCGCAACAGCTGGGACGGCTCAGGAAGGCGATGCTGGCCCGAGGTTGGTTCTGCCGGGAGACCAGAGTGGAGTCTGGAGGACGAGGCTGCACTCCAGGTGCCTTCCTTCCAGCACCAGTAGGCCTTGCTTGCTCCAACCTCAGGATCGTTGCATTGATGGCTCGTCCAGCCTGGACCGCGTGTCCCACACACAGGTCTCCCTGCAGGCCTTCTTCTGCACCTTGGGCAGTCACAGCCCAGATGTCTCCTGTCCCCCATCACTGTTCTGCCACTGCTGTGGTCTCTCCATCACAATCTTGTCTGCCTAGGCAGACAGTGGAAAGGTATCTGTCAGGGGCGGAAAGTCAGCCCCCATGCCAACATCCCAAAAACACAGTAGGCTCTCAACATGCATGTGTGATGTCATCTCTGAGTCGCTTTGTCTCTTTTTAGCCCACCCCTCTCCCTGTTCCGTGGCTGTAAGGCCATTTCACCAGGAAGGGAAACTGGGGCAGGTCACCCCTCTCCAGCCTCCAACTCAAGGCAACTGCATGGACAGCCTGAATCTTACCTCACAGTCATAGAGTCGAGCTGCACGGCCAGATGCCCAGACACAAATCTAGGCTTTCGCTGACTGGGGACCCTCCAGCAAGCAGGAGGCTAAGGCAAAAGGCTTGCCAGTTTGAGGCTAACCTGGCCTACAAAGTGAAACCATGTCTCAAAAGCAATCCCTTGGAGGCTGGGGAGATGGCTCAGCAGGTAAGGCACTTACCATACAAGCATGAGGGCCCGAGTTCAATCCCCACAATTCACATTAAAAAAAGCCTGGTACTGCAGCCTACCTCTGTAATCTGAGCCCTGTAGAGGCAAAGACAGAAGGACCCCTGAGACTCACTGACCAGCAACTCTATCAGATCTGTGAGACCCTGACTCAAAAAATAAAATTCGGAGCACTAGGGAAAGACCCTCAATGTTAACCTCCAGTCTCCACATCTCTCCACATGTGCATGCCTGTGTATACACCCCTCCCACAAACGCAAACAAGTAATATGAAGATCTAGGATGCAGACACTGACGTCAACCTGCACACACAGGAACACATACGGCATACACACAAATTAGCTAATAAAAATCAATTTTATTTATTTATTTGCTTATTTATTTTGTTTTTGAGACAGGGTTTCTCTGTAGCTTTGGAGCCTGTCCTGTAACTCGCTCACCTCGAGGCTGGCCTCGAACTCACTCACAGAGATCCACTGCCTCTCCCTCCCATGCTGGGATTAAAGGCATGTGCAACCAACATCCAGCTTCAATTTTACTTTTAAAAAAGACAACAACAACAAAAAACCCCACAAGGAAGTAAGTGTCATTGTCCTTATTTTACAAGTGGGGAAACTGAGGCATGGGGAGATGATGTCACTTAAGAACAGAACTGAGCCTGAATTCCAGGTCTACCCAGCCCCAGATGCCTCCCTGCCGGGGAATTTGCAGAAATAGGGTGACAGACAGCAGCCTTCCTCCAGCCTGAGACGGAACTCCTGTGGGAGCCTGTTTAATGGAGACAGAGCATGGCGTCCCTAAGGCTCCTGGGCTGTGAGATCGTCATGGCGACAGCAGAACATAACAGCTAACTCCAAGGAGCTGTTCTGGTACCTCTTGTCAACTCAGTCTTCCAGAGATGTGGGAAGCAGAGGTCATCCAAACACCTAGATCCAGCTGTGCCTGAAGCAACCCATCTCTAAAATGTCTTTAATCTGACTCACTCCACTCTTCTTAGCTTGAATCGATCCGTGTTGGGGTTTGGTCCCTCACGAGCAGAGTCAGGGAATCTTGACTAACCCACCGGCCTTCATGACCTTATCTAGGCTTCCATCTCGTCATCCTTCTGAAGCCGAGAGACACACCCATTAACTGTCCCATCCCTGTGCTGACTCACAGGTCTCCAGGGTTTCAGTCCTTCCTTCCCACTTGGGTCTGTCGCTTTCCCACACACCCTGCTCGGGACAGAGGGCGTGTGGGTGTGCGTGCCAGCGCGCGAGCACGCCCTTGTTCCGGGAAGGTGCCCCGTGGGCTTTGCTTGGCTCCAGATCAGGCCTCGTTATTAGGTGATGACAGCTAATACAGCCTGTGTCTGCCCCCGAAGCAGGTGGCTGCGCGGCATGAGCAGCCCTGCCAGGCAGGTTTGTGGTTCCCCAGTCCTGAGAGGCAGACCAAGCTGAACAGCAGAAAGCAGAAACTGCACCCCAAATCCAAAGTGGTAGGCTTCCCATTCCAAAGTCAGAAGTATATCAACATGGTTTATGATGCAGGCATTGGATCACTAGGTACGTGTGTGTGTGTGTGTGTATGTGGCATGTTGTGTTGTAGTAGATGTGGGGGGGTGAGCGTGATGTGTGTCCTGTGTTGAATGTGGTGTGGTGTGTGTCGTGTGTCACGTGTGGGTATGTGGGAGGGTTGCTGCATGGGTCAAGTCTACCCCTATTTACAAAATACACCCGTGTAGTTATCCTGTGGGTGTCTACATGTGTGTAAATTGTATACTGTATTGCATCAGCTGCATGTGTAGAGGCTGGGTGTGGAACATGCGTCTAGAATGCACATTTGGGATCAATAGAAATTCAAAGTGCGTGTCAGCCACATGACTGCATGTGGGTGTATGTGGGAGGGGCTGAATGGCACAGGGTCCATGGGCGTGCTTCTGATCTGGGTGCATCTCCCCGGGTCCTCTGCTGCGCACAGCAGTTGATGTGCCGTGAGCACTGTCCTGGTCTCTCCCTGTCCTTGTCCTGATTTCTCCAGTCTGCTTTCACCTCCAGCCCTACAAGTCTCCCCTCCTAGAGCGTCTTTTAGGGCAGGGCCTCCTCTGTCCAGAACCTCCCGTTAATAAGCAGAGGTCCTTGGCCTGCTCCCTGAGGCCACGCCTGCCCTAGCCCCTTCCTTCAGCCTTCCTCTTTCCCTGGCTTCTACTGTGCTGGCCTCCGTGGTTCAGGACAGGCCTGCGCTGCCTAGAGTCTTTGCATATGTTGCTGTTACCTCCAGTTCCCCATCTCAGACCACAGACTACTCCATCGGCTCTCCACTGCCACCTGCCTCGGCTCACATGGCTTCTCTACGCCACTCCACCGACTTTCCACTGAAGGTCACGTCCCCAGCAAGCCTACCCTGTCCACATCATCACTGGGCTTGGGGGTCCTTGGATCCTCCAGCATGACACTGATCCGCCATTCACTCCTCCCACGGTCCCCATTCTGAGAGCATATAGTGTGTGTCCCTGGTACTGACTCTGCTCAGCACGCAGTAGGTGTACAGGTGGTAGCTGGTGAGCAGAGGGACAGACTAGCCAGAGTTCAGGCCCCAGGCTCCCCTAGCCTCGCCTGCCCTCTGGACACTGGCCCCTTCACAGCGCCTGCCTGGCAACCAGGGAAGGATCCGGTCCCTTCTTAATGCTGTCATTTTCCCTGGAGCCTTTTCTCCTTCAGGCCCAGGAGCAGGGAGTGGCGGGTGGCCAGGGCTTACAGGCCTGTTCCCAGAGATCACCTGCTACCTGCCTTGGCTCACATGGCTTCTCTTCTTCCCCTTGACTCCAGAGGTGAGGTGGAGAGAGGAAGAGAGCAGCTCCTATTGTCAGGCACACGAGATTCCAGCACTTTCTTGGGTGGGTGGATCCCAAACACCTGCTCTGGTCCCTTCCCACTTGTGGCTGGAAGTTGCTAACCCAGCCCTTCCAACTCGCAACTCATTGTTTATTTTTAAAAGGACCAAAAGGGGAAGTGTGGGTGACACCCTCCCCCACCCCGGGAGTTCTTGTCACTGCTGGGTGACGGCGGAGAATCCGTCTCTGAGACAGACCCAGTGGTCAGTGGATGCTCAGCCTTGCCGTGGACACACAGTGGTGCAATCATGGACAAAGTGTTCAATCACATCCAGGCGTCACCAGCCCCATGAGAACACCAGATCTGCTGTGGGGCTTGCCGGAGAGGAACTGAGGCCTCCATGGGTCACATGCAGCCAAGAGTTGGCCCGGGATTCAGGGCCAGGACTGGCCCCACATCCCTGTGTGCTAGGGAGTCACAGTGTCCACAAGGTCCTTTTGACTTCCCCTCATGTCCCAATCTGAGGCAGGCCCACAGAGTGAGTGTTTTTTTTCTTTCCTCACGTTGTTTTTCTGCAACAAGGGCTCATCCTAGCCCAGGGTCTCACCACCCCTCTGCTTCATCCTGCGAGCGCCACCATGTCCAGCAGGTGAGCTCATTCTTAAATGTGTTGCATTTGATCCCAAAAGACCAGAAAGCAGCAGCCTGCCCACCTCAGAGAGGACTTGATCACCATTGACTGGCAAACTGGTTATTGATCCATCCTGATCGACAATGATCAGTAAATGGTGAATTCCAGAAGGGGGGGGGAACTTCCTGATTGTCACACATACAGTGTCTAATATAGGAGTATTTGATGGATGAGCTGGTAAGTTAAAAACAGAATACTGGAGAGATGTTTCAGAGGTTAGGAGCATTTGTTACTCTTGTAGAGTTTGGATCCCAGCACCCACATGGCAACTCACAACTGTCTGCAGCTCCAGTTCCAAGGGACTGATGTCCTCTTCTGATCTCTGCATGCATGCGGTGCACAGACATACATGCAGGCCGAACATCCATACATGTGAAACAAAAATAAAATTTAAAACACAAAATGGAATCTGAGCTGAGCCTGGTAGCACTTGCCTTTAATCCTAGCACTCAGGAGATCTTCTGAGTTCAAGGTCAGAATGGTCCAAGTTCCAAGCCAGTCAGGGCTACCTGCTGTCGTTTATTGGGGAGCCAGCAGTGAAAAACTCTGCCTGCAGACACTCACTTGCAGCAGGCCTGGCCTTGCATCCCCAAGTATGCAGGACACTGATCACCATGCTGGTCACGGCCCCAGCTCACAGCCGACCTTCTCTCAGCCACCCTCAGGACCCCAGTGAGAATGGGAGCCATGCCACCACGGTTAAAGCCAGGACATTTTTGTTTGTTTTCTAGATAGGGTTTCACTACCCTGGCTGTCCTGGAACTCGCTCTGTAGACCAGGCTGGCCTCGAATTCACAGAGATCCGCCTGCCTCTGGCTCGTGAGTGCAGGGATTAAAGGTGTGCGTCACCACCGCTGCACACTTCCAGGGCAGTTTGGAGAGCACCAAAGCCGTTGTCAGGGTCGGCAGGGATCAGGCACTCTGATGGTAGTTAAATCATCATTCCCATTTAGCAGACAAGGCAAAACCACAACAGAGAGGCCAAGTGACTTGACCTGGGTAGCACAGTCATTTGGCAGAGAAGACAAAAGTTGAACCGGGTTCTGTGACTTCAAAGGGCTCAGTTCTGTCTTTAGGGCAGGCCTCACCAGGACTTTGGGACAAGAGGACTCCTGGGGAGGGCAGGAAGTTGGGGTGGAAATGTTGGACCAGCTCCTCCTCCAGCCTCAGAGGGTATGACCCTTCCTTGGCCTCAGCTGCAGCCTCTACAAAATGGGCAGCTGTCCCTCCCGTCCTGGGAGCAGGTATTCTGTAACAGCTTTATCCAAGACCGAAGCATTCTATCCTGTCCGAGGCTGCCTATGCAGGAAGGTAAACAACTCAGCATAGCTTCAGGAAGTCCCTGGAACCTAGCAGACCCACTAGTCCTCCCCCCCCCCACCTTCCAGAGTAATAAAAGCTGAGAGATCCCCTCAGAAGGAAACCGAGCTACAAAGACTCTGAGACCAGTCGAGCGGCTGGAAGAGGTTTGACAAGAGGCACCTGGAAAGGGCACTCTCCAACCAGTGCAGCTGCCTGCAGGCTGTGCGGTCTGCTCCAGGTTCCCAGCTTTGTGAGCTGTCACCCATGCTGGGGTGGGCCTTGGTGATACAGCTGTCTTTGAGTCATTTCTGCTCCTGTAAGTGACCCCTCACCCATATTCCTGTAAGTAACCCCATAAAACTCATTGGTTCATCAAGTCGGACTTGATGGTGTCCGTACTTGGCTCTGCCGTGTGTTCCCTATCTGGAGTGAGTGGATGCGTGTGTTGCATCCCCCCAGCGATTTTGTCACATAGCAGCAGGGCACCCTGGCTTGCTATGGACAGCTTGGCTACCCTGTGGGCTTCACTTCTCTCTCTGATCCAGAACTAGACGCCATAAGACACTTTCACATGCCACTGAGCCAGCCTCCGGTGGCTTTCATCTCACTTGGGACTGTGCCTGTGGGTGGCCCCGATGTCTTCTGGACACAGCTCCTGGTCCCTGAGGTGCCCCACAGCCAGATGCAGCCAGATGAACACCTGATGGACCACACACGACCTAAACACAGAAACACACGTGCAGCCAGCCTTATACACACGCCAGCCCCAGACACAAAGGAGGCCCAAGCCACAGGCCTGCTCAGACACACCTTTCACAGGTGTGCGAGACCTGCGTGGGCACACTG